ATCCCATTGCAGTCCCTTGTAAGGGAGAGTGCCTCTGGTGGCAGAGTGACCTGGCTCAGTCTTGGTAGTGGTGGTTTTTTGGGAAGCCTTTGTGAAAGTTTGTGTCCTTGCTGTGTGCACAGAAATTTATTTGTACCTTTGGGCATCATGACAGCCTCTGCTTTCTTCATGAGGTGACTTGTTCACAAGAGCTGTTTGGTGGAGCAGTTGACAGCTTGGTAGCATCTGAGGTGGCACAGACACACCAGAGGAAGCAAGGAACAGTGAGGAACAGTCAGCAGAGCTCTTTTCCATCTCAGAGTTATTTGAACCCACGTCCCATAGGGAGAGGGGAGCACAGAGGACAGGCTGAACATGGCAGTAAGCTAAATAAGGGTCATGTGCTAAAGGAATTCAGTTGGAATTTTGGTCCTGGAAGAGACATTTAGAAAGCCAGCCGACTTGTTGAGGACAGTAACAGGGGCTCCTGACATAAATAACTTTTCCCTCTTGGCTGGCTGTTGGTGGCCCATGACTTGTAGCTGCACTGAGACCCTGGCGCTCGACAGGTGTGTCCTGACTACACAAATAAGTGCAGTTGGTCATTGTGTTAGCCAGCCTTGCCACAGGGCCAAGGTTGATAGTGGGGCTTAGCCACTGTGACCTGTTTGTTCTCTCCATGACCCTTCCAGTCAAGCCTCAGGCAGGCTGATGACAGCTTTTATGCAGACAGCAGATTTTGTCCACAGAAGAAATTCAGTCTCTGCAGACTTGCAATTCCAGATGAGCTCTTCAGTACTTAAAATGTAGCAAAACATGAGGGACTTTGGTGGGTTAAGGTGCCCCATGCAGCTGGGAAAATAGACGGCATGACATGATGGTGTTGTGTTCTGTAACACGGCCTGTGTTGTTGCAGGCACCACTGTTTTGGCACATGCTGAAATTGTAGACAGCCAGCAGAAATCTCTCTGGGATGCAGTGCAGCACAGAAGCTTTTGCAGAAATATAATTTCTGGTAAAAAAGGACTTTGGATGGGGAGGGGATCATTGAAGGCAAGATCTATTGGAGGTGAAGCTTTAGGAGGTGATGTGCTCTGGCTGAGTGATTCTTTCATTGTTTTATTTTGGGGCCTGGGCCAGCAGCTGCCTTGGTACCTGAGGTCACCTGGGTCAGTGGTGCTGTGTGGGGACAGTTCCAGTCTTTTACTTCAGCAGCTGGGAAGTGGGCTCCAGAAGGAATATTACATTTCTTTTGGTAACTCTGCCAAGAAAGAGAGGAAATTCATAATTTGAGCAAAATACTTTTAGCTTTTTTTTTTTGTAGGGTGGGGAGAGGTAGGAAGGGGGAAATGAAAAATCCTTTATAATGGCTTGCTTGGGATGATTTTTCTCTTGGAGCTCCCTCTCAGGCTGTAAGAAATGTTCACCTTCTCTTTCTTAGTATAACCAAGTCTTTGAAAAGGGAGCCTCCATCAGGAGTGCATGCAATTGGAAACATGCATTGGCTCAGGTCATGTATTGCACTATGATTTGGGATCCTGATAGAGTGCTTTTTGGTGCTAGTTAGATAATAACAAAGCCTTTTATGTCCTGACTAAAGTAACTTTATCAAATATTGATAATTGTGATGCCCTAGCAGAGGTCTAAGATGATGCACTGTAAATGGCTTTAAGAACATTTTGCTTGAATTTCATTGTGTTCTCATAATCAATCAGTCTTCACTCATTCCTTCATTCTGTGTTTCCTGTCATCCTTCTAGGATGCTGGACTGTACCCCAGTTGCTTTCTGATGCAGGCCTGTGTAGGTCTAAAATAGCAGTCTTTCCCCAGTGAGTCAGCCTTCAGCAGTCTTGAAGTTCACTGTTGGGTGGCTTCTCTGGGAACATGAATGCCAAGACCTTGATTCCACAGAGTACTTAAGCATGTGCTGCATTTTAAGCATGTGGCTTAATATTTTTCTGGTTTTTATACTAAGAAAGATTGAGGTGTCAATTGGCCAGTAGATAGTGTTCCCTCCATAGCATTTTATATAGCATTTGACTTCATGTGGTAGTTTAGTCTCCTGAATTTCTGGATGTTCAACACAGTTGCTGAAGTAAGAGGTACCTGGTTAAGTCAACCACTCAGTGCAGATGTCTGATGTCTGTTGATTGCCTCGGGAATTGTGGAAAAATTCTTAACAGTTTGCAAGTGTAGAAAGTGTGTTGATCATGACTGAAACAAAGTAGGCTCTTGTAGGAGAGAAAAGGAATTTTTAATCAAATTGTTAAGTTTATATTGTGATAACATTTTTAACTTTCTGAGATTTGAGAATTGTTCTCAGGCATTGCAGTGATACTCTTCACATTTTTTGATGCATTCTGGGAATTGCTCTGGAGGAATGCTGTTGAGGAAGCAAATCAAGTGATCAAATTGTATCTCAGCAGTTGATTCCATAACTGGGCTTGATTTAACTTCTGGTGCGAGGGATCAAATGTCTCTGACCACTTCAGCATTTGCTGCCCCATAATTGGCAAAGGGGAGGGATGTATCAATCCGATTTCTACATCATCTTTCTCCATATGGTCTGTCCCATTTCTTACATCTATTTTAAATGATATAAAAGGAGGATACTTTTAAGACATGTTTAAATTAGCTGGATCCAAAGTTGCTATATGGAGGAGGAAGGCTGGATGAATAACATATTTATTAAGAGTAAAACAAAAAAAACCCCAAAGCAACACCATCACCACCCTCCCTCCCAAATCCCATCAGACCTCCCACATAGTCTCCCCAACCCAACCCTCGTCCTCTCCATACAGGAACTGTTGATATGTGGAATGAGTGAAGTGTCTGTTTCAGAAGTAACTGCAATAATGAACTGGGTCTCTGGGCTGAGCCAACATGTTACTCTTCAGAACTTCCATTTTCAGCAGTAGGAGGGTCAAGGCTGCTAGAAAAGGGACCGGCAGGGTAAGATGGAGGCTGCTTTTTTGATCTTGGAGTCACCTTTTTCAGAGCCTTGGAAATTACATCTAGTTTTAGTAGGCTTTATGCATTGAGCTCAGAATGTCTGGTTGGGCCAGCATGTGCTGGAAGGGGGATATGGCACGAGTGTGTTTTCCATCACTGTGCAAGCTGGTGACTTAAAATCTGTATGTGGGGAGAACTTAACAGAGGGTTGAGAGTAGGGAGCAGAAGTGTTTTGGAGTAATGAATGGAATTGCATGTAGGCGGAGAGCCTGAACTCTGTCTGGGAGAGTAATAAGCAATGATGAGAGTGGATCTGACCTGACTTTTTGGTACTGTGCATTCCTCATCTCAGACACTATCTGGCCTCATGAGCTCTCGCAAGTGCTCCCTTTAAAAAAGGAATTCCTCTTCTTGCAGCCTAGTCTAACTCTGTTTTGGTTTTGTTTGTTTGTTTTTAAATGGCTATGAAAAATAAAGAGCCAGTAGCTTTCTAAATTCAGTTTTAATTGGTGTGGCTCTACTGATCATAAATGTAAAGTTGCAAAGCTTTCCAGAGGATGAAAAGCTTTTCTGTGTGTGGTTTCTGTTTTTGTTTAAAATGGGTCACATGCCCAGGAATGCAGTCAAATTATAATGGTGACTAAGTGCCGGAAAGCATAGGAAAGAGGAGGGAAGGGTGAGCAGAAAAAAAGGAGCCTGAGGCTATGGAAGGAAGGCTGGGAAAATAAGAGTCTGGCCAGACCCCAGGGCCAGGTTAGAGATTCTTACACCCATTAACACAGGAGATGTTTATTTACAGGGAGCTAATCTTTGTTTTAAAAATGACAGAGTACCCAAAAATGCTACTTTTGGGAAGTGGATTGGAGGGACTGTAGGGATGGGAGGAAGTAACTGATTCTGATGAGGCACCAGTTCCCATTTCTCAAGGATCTTCCCTTCTCTCTATGAATGTGGGTATTGGTATTGGCTTTGAGAAATGTATGAATGTGGGATAAACACTTGTAGTCTAGTAAGTGTAACCCCTAATTACAAAGGATACTTTCTAGAGTTTCTTCTTGTTTGTAGTTTTCTGATCTTTTTATCTAAGCAGCTCCAGTAAGGATATTGAATAATTAAATTTATGATATGACAAAGATGGGATCTAAAGTTGCCTTTCCCCGTGTCTTTAATCAGCTCTGGATCATGAAAACAAAACAGATGTTGAACAGCTGCTTGAACTGGGTATATTCATGTAGACTCTAAGGAGACCTTGGTCCCAGGTCTCTGTGGTACCTACTTTTTGTCACATCTTGAAGAGTATTGACCTTGGTTTGTCTCAGCTCATTCCAATAACTTTGATTTGTAGCCCAGCAATAATCTCTCTTTTAGTAGCTTTGTCTGACTGTAAAGATTCCAGTGATATGCTGGAATTCTCTATCCTTTGGTGAGCTGCTGCAAAAGATAGTTTTCCTTTGGGTGTATGTGCATTGGATTGTTTATACACATGAATGTATTTTATCTTTAGTTTGAACACATCTTGATTTCTGATTATTGTATCTGGTTATGGGATTGTCAGACAGGTGAGACTCTGGAACAGTTTCTTTACTATTCCTTCTGGATAGACACTCTCTGGCTTCTTGTTTCAGTGTTCTCCTGACTAGTGTTTCCTCCATCTGTTCTTGTGTGGTGTTGTCCTTATCTTAAATAGCTCTTGTCAGTCTCTATTAAAAGGGTGATGTCCTGTATCTCTGGTTCTTCTGGTGGTTTCTTTCTGTGTCATCTTGTTTGGATTACATTTTGTTTGAACCTGTGCTGCATTCAGTATACTTGGTCAAGTCTTGATCATATTTCAGGTTTGTGATCATCAGAGATGGCTTTCTTTGCTGGTAATCCACCACTCTGGTCAGTGTTCCTTTCTTGTCACCTCTCACGAATGTCCTCACTGTAGTGTGGCACTGCATCATCAGTGTGTGTCAGTTCATCATTGTGGAACCAGGGTGAGAGCTTACCTGTGGTCATTTTGAATGCGTTTGTTGTCCCGAAGGCATCAGTCCTGGTTGCTAATCTCATCTCTCCTCCTCTGTCTGCAGAGCTGCTGGCATTCCAGTGAAGGAAAGGGTGAAGGTATCTCAGAACTGGAGGCACGGACGCTGCCGGAGGGAGACAGTCCTGAAATGGAAATGCAAGCAAGTGGATTCTTCCTTTTCTTCTTCTTTGTTATGTGACAGCTGCTGTGGGGCCTTGGGTTTGTGCCTGTGCCCTGAAATGAGATGTTTCCTGCTCCTTGTGCTCCATGGGATCTTACAAGTGATTGCTGCTGGCTTATTTTGGCTGTTCCTGGCTAGCTGGATGTGGGGAACCAGAGCTGCTGCCTTGCCCTAGGGATTCATGCTGAATGTCAGGAATTTCTTTCTTAGCCATTTGAAGTTTTCTTTGTTCTGATCTGTACAGTTTTAGTCATATTTAGCAACCTTTATGACAAACTGTTGCATTCATGTCTACTGCTGTGCACCATGAGCCATCTTTTGTTCTGCTCTCACAATGAGCCCCCACTGATCCCAGATGTGGACTTAGGTGTTCCCTCAAAATGCTTCATTTGTCTCCCGTGGTTTATCCTGGATCCTGATTTGGATGTACAAATCTAAAATGCTAATTGCCATTCATCTGCCTTCTGCTCCTTCATTCTCATGCTTCTCTCCTTCACTTAAATAAAAAAAAAGTATATTTGACATTAATGATGGGAGCTTGTTGTTAAACTCGTTTGCAACAGTCTACTTGGCTTTCAAAGCAAAGCATAAGATAGGTCTCTTGTCTGAGCTGCACATCGAAATTTTCAGCTTTCACATTATCAGACTGAAGGAAAAATGAGAAAGACCGTGGTTTGTTAGCTGCTGAAGAACAGGGACGTTCTACTGAGCTTTCATGCCTTTTTGTGCTGTATAGATTGAAGTGGTGGATAATGTGCCACTTCTTGCCTAGAGTCCTGGGAACAGCTGTAATGAGCAGAGTGGGTTTTGGTGCAGGTTGTATACCTGCCTTTGAAGTGCTTGCAACCATCTGTGAAGACAGGCTCTTGGATATTAGAGATCATTACTAAACCAGCTTCCCAAGTGAAAAGGCAAGGACTGATTTAATGAGGCCACCATCCAAATGGCATCTCCTAATTTTCATTTATTCAGCTTCAGAGTTTTTACTTCTCCTTATGAAAAAGCCATAGAAAAAGGTAAAAAGCTAAACTTCTGCAAAAGGAGAGCTGCAGAAACTGGCTGTAGTCTAGGTAAGCTGGATATTCACTTGCTTTTAGAGTACTGCGTAGGAGTGGAGGAAGGAAGGGGAAATCAAAGCCTGCCTAAACCCAAAGCTCCTGCTCTAAAGATGCCTCTTACTTTTTCCATGTATATGATCAAGTCCCAGATGAATATTATAAACTCAACTGCTTTGTCCATGTGATTAAAGGCCTGTTACTGGAGATGAATACAGGCAAGCTGGAACCTTCTGTCTAATGAGCAATCTTGTCCTCTTGCTTGTATCTAGTTGTTCACTGTGATGTTACAAGGTATGGCTGTGTATAATAACTCTGATGACTCAGAAAATCATGACCTCTGAGGATAAATGATCTAAAAAAAAAGAGGTAGACAGGTTTTTATGAGAAGCCCCACTGCTTTCAAAGCCATTTGTTCCTGAACAGTTTGAAAACTGAAAGGCTACTCTGTAGAAGGGCTCTGGATTTGCTCGGTGTTTCCATGGACATTGGTGCACTTGGCAATGAGTGCAGAGCAGAGACAATTTCACACATCCATGCCCCGTAGGACACGAGTCCCATGTGTCTTTGTATCTGGCCTCACTATATCCAGAAATCTTATTTGCTGATTCTCTGTTGGCTACACAAAAGCAAAATCTTGAGAAAAGCTCTCACTGCGTAAGTGTGTATTGTAGCCTATTTTCTTCTATATTTTGGTTTTGTTTCAAGAATAAATAAACTTCTCGAGATGGTAGACTTGATTCAGATGTTGCATGAGTGTCGTGTCCTCTTCTTGATCTCCCAGAAAGTAAAGCATGTTTTCCATATGTAATATCAATCTTCAGAATACTTTGGAATAGTTTTTTTGGCTCCCCTGCCCATGGCCTGGAACCTGTCTGTTCCATATGAACCTGCCACTGTCCCACATAAAGCAATGGGCAGAAAGGGCATATGGGCTCTTCTAAAAGATGGGCAAGAGAAATCAAGAGCTTGCTCTACAGCTTATGGCTCAGCAGAGAAAGAGGTGTGAATGTAGAAAAGTATGTCCTCTGTATGATGAGCATAAAGTTCTTGGGTATCCTCAGAGTGCAGGAGGCAGGTGACTTTCTGTCTGTAGGAAGATCTGTGGTATTTTGGTGGCATGCTCCCCTGCTTAGAGATGTGTGAAACAGTGGCAGCTTTGTGGTCTCTGCTGGGCACCAGCAAATAGTGTTCAGGATCAAGAGTGACTGCACCAACAGCCTCATATTGAATGCTCTCTTAGAAATGCTCAGCATAGCTCACCAACACCAGAGTCTAGTTTCTTAAAAAGTACAGAGCTCATGTGCAGGTTCAGGGGCCCTAAAGTATTTCCCTATCTATGTTCACTAGACTTTTGGCCATCCTCTCTTTCAGAGATTCCATGCTTCCTTTTCCTCACTCTGGGTTAGAAAAATGCCAGCAATGTAATCTGCTTTTTATGTTGCTAGAGAAGCTTCACTTGTAGCTGTGCTGCTATATTAGCCCTGCTTTTTCATGTCACCTGCTGCTCCAACTTCACTTTTCTTGAGCAGGCATTTGTTTTTGTTGATATGTTTGTGTATGGATTTTTTTTTCTTTTTCTGTGTGAGGTTGTTTTGTTTTGTTTTCTTCTCCCCACTCCTGCATGCTCCCAACGTGCTGTCTGTTTGCAGTTTGATGCCCTGGATGGAGCTGGATGGTGAATATCTCTACCTGTCTCAAGCGGAGAACATCCAGGCATACCAGCTCTGTGCAGAGGGGACAGGTTTGCAGCGTCACCCCCAAGCCATCTTCTCTGGCCACCAGGAGGACGTGTGTCGCTTTGTTCTTGTCAACTCCCACATTGTCAGTGGAGGGGGGTAAGTTGGGTGAATGAAGGAGCCCGAGGGTTTTACCAGTGAAGTCGGAAAGATTCTGTGTAACTCCAGCCCAGAGCAGAGGAGCCAGTTTTGGTACACAGTGTCCTCATGCTTGGCTGTGGTCAGCTGCTGCTGCTTCCTCTCTTATAATTTTGGTTCTGGCTTGAAAAAGCTTCTCCTGCAGCAGTGAAGGAGCTGAGTCTCATACTGTTGACCTTAAAAAGTGTCCTTTGCTCTGTAAACTTGTGGTGATGTCCACAGGATTGTTGAATCAGGAATGACTGATCAGGCAAGCCTGACTGCTGTGCAAATTTCATTTCTTTCCCTGTTAGAGCCAGGGTAGCTCGACTGTTCTGATAATCAGTACTGCTGGTTAGCTGGGACTGCAGTAGAGCAGAAAGTTTTCTAGAGACAAGTGTGTGTTTATTAGACACACTGATATAATTGTGGAGAGGGGAAAAACTGCCAAGCCTTCCAGCACACACACACTTCTCCAATTCATTTTGCATTTGACTGGACTTTTACAGTTACAGCAAGTGACAGGACTTTCATTAATAGCTAAAACGATAAAAATATGCACAACAGTTAAGCACAGAATTGGGAGAGGTAAGCTGTCTGCCCTGGGTATTGTGGGACTTTCCCCTATGAACTGTAGACCGAAATTCAGGAGAAAATGGAGGCTTGCATTTAAAATTCCAGTAACTGTGCTGCTTGAAAAAGGTCTAAATGTCTGGATAGTGAATTCAAAGCACAGCACCCTGCATGGCTGCTCTGAAATGAATGAAAAGCTGAGGCTTGGACATGGGTGACAATGTCCTCTCACTTGTTCCCTTACTCCAGCCATTCAGCATACAGACGGGATTCTGGCAAGCTCAAAGTAGTAGGAGGAGGAATGGCTACTTTGCTATAGTTTCTGCAGCTTAACACAAAGTGAAGGGTGAAAAGATAGCCAGGAAAATTTTCACGTGCATCAGATCAGGCTTTAACTGGCCAGATGTGGAATTGCAAGAGAACAGGTGATGTGTGAAGAGTGGAGGGTTCATAATGCTCCATGAATTTCAGCCCCTGTCAGAGATCAGTCCTGGTCTTTTTGTAGCACTCCAAAGCATTAGTGGAAGGTGCATGTCCAAGAAGTCCAAATTCCCTGCCTGTGGATTTGTTTTTCAGAGATGGAAGTATTGTCCTTTACAAGCTCCACGGCTCCTACAGCGTCAAGTTCTCTGCACATGAGCAGGAGGTGAACTGTGTGGACTTCCAAGGCGGCCTCATTGTCAGCGGCTCCCGGGACCGGACAGCCAAGGTGAGCAGGGAGTGTTTCAGCAGCTGCAGGTGCTGCTGTAGAGGTGACTTCAGAGGTCTTGTGCCGTGAATATTCAAGTGTCAGCAGAACTGTTGTGAGCCCTGTACTCCTTGCAGGAGGAATGCTGACTGTCTTGGCTCATGTCTCTGAAAAGATGCTTGCTCTGCCAGGCTTGTTAGAAAGAGATTTGGCAGTAATTTACAGCATCAGCTGCTGGCTTAAACTTGGAAGTGCAGAAGGCAGCAGCTGATGTTTTGCTTCTTTTCCTGTACATCCATCTACACTGTAGTGGAGAAGCATGCCAGTTAGTGTGAAATTTGCTGTATGGATCTCAAACCCACCCTTGTTGTGTGATTTAACATTGCAATGTGGTTTAACATACTCTCTGTTATATATTCAATCTCTGTAAAGGATAGGATGTCTTTTCCAAATCTATGGTTATTTACTAATTTTGTTGTTTATTTATTTGTGTGGGGATTTTTTTCTTGTTTGGTTTTTTGTTTTTTTAAAAAATGGTTCTTGGTTTGCAAACCAGGAATGAAGTTAGACTATGAGTATTGTTAGCTCCTGTTTATCTCTTCCAGCTGGCATCACTGGGTCCTGTCACATAATTTTTGGCTATTTCTTTTTGGGGCAGCACCTTGTTGATTTTTGTCCTTCTGGATCTGGTTGGCAATGCTTTGTTCCTGTGTGGACCTGGAGACTTGTTCATCTGAGCTGTAATCAGCTTTGTTTGATCAGTTTAGGAAGCTCTACACAGATGTTTCACCCTTATCCTGCTAGCATGATGCAGTACCTGTAGTATAAAACCTTTCAAGGTTTTATAGGAAGTGTGTGAAGCAGCATGACCCGATTTATTTTTGTTGGTCCCTCTGTACAGATGTACTCCTGAGTAAAATCACTTCCAAGTAAAGCAAGCAATGTTCCAATGCAAAAGGCAATTTTGGGATTGCTGTTTGCCTCCTGGGAGCAAGACCTTGATGCTGCTTTGTCTCACACTTCAGCAGTGCTGCTCCTCTCTGGTCTGTGGATCCTCTTTGCTGGGAGAGTGCCTTCTTGCTACTTCTCTGACAGCTGGAGGAGACATCCCCGACCTTGAGAACAAATTCCTGAAGCCCAGAGGGGAATTTCAAGCTGTTTTTCTTAGGGCTAGTGTGAGATCTTGCCCACACAGTGCTCCCTACAGCATATACTCTGGGGATGTTCACCTCTTATTTTTTATCATCTCTTTCGCTGTCTTGTTTGCGTGAATGAGGCTCTTGGAGAGTGGAAGGGAATCCCTACCAACCTTTTAAAGGGGCTCTAAGTGTCTAAGCTATTGAGGGCTCTGCTGAGTGTTGATTAGGACTAAGCCCTGAAGAGCTGTTAATGTACATTCCTGTGTGATAGGCAGCAGATAGTGTGCTCTGAGCAATATTTTTAACCTGTAGGAGATAGGGATGCCTTAAAGGAGTTAAGCTTTTCTGCTGCTTTTGCTGACACTAGGTGCTAAATTCCCCGCTGACAAGAATAGCCTGCAATCCTGGGCATTATCAACAAACAAACAAATAGGGCACTCCACGCTTTGAAGTCTTGAAGCAAAACACTGGGGGTTGGTTACAGACAACTGGGGGGCTTGAGTCCTGTGGGCCAAGAATGATGGCAAGGTGGAGAAAATGAGGGGCCACTAGCAGAGGCCCCAGCAAGAATTTTGGGGCCTTTATTAGGACCCAGAAACAAAGGGGTGAACTGGTAGAAGGAGATGTGCGTGTTTGCACTGTTGGAGGAGGGAAGGAATTCTCTCATACTGTCAGTGAGCAAGAGCAGCCAAGTTTGAAAGCAGCCTGGGGTACACTTAGAAAAACTTGGTCTAAAGTGGGGTCTTCTAAAAGAAGATTATTTTACAGGCTGGTGAATGATTAACTTTATAGTTAATATTAATGGAAAATATTCTGGGATGCTATTAAGTCTTCCCACACTGTTCAAGAGAACAGATTTGAACAAATCCTAATTGTCTTTTATTTAACTACAGAAGATGAGGAGTTTGTGTTGAATGCTGCCCTTAGAGAGCAAGTGGTGATGGGGGTGCTCTCTGTTACCCATGGGGTGGAAGGTCATACTTATAAGCTTACTTAAAGTGCTTGTTTCCGCCAGCAATTGAAGGCTCTGCTCCCCCAAAATAAGTAATTTGAATTCAGGGAGAGCATCTGTGGGAAGGTGAGCATGGCAGTTTGGGCAGCTCTTCCAACACAACATTAGCAGCAAGCACCCTGCATTCTGCAATTTTGGGTGATGTGGCATAACATGCATCTCTCTCTTTAGGTTTGGTCCCTGTCGGCGGGCAGAGTTGGTCAGTGCCTACATACAGTGCAGACAGAGGATCGAGTGTGGTCCATTGCCATCAGCCCATTATTAAGGTAACAGATCTCTTTATCTCTTTATTCCCAATTTTCGTCAGAAAGAAGTAAAGGACTTGGATAGGCTGTGTGTCCACAAATCTTTGTGAGGCACCAATGTTCAGGGACTTGGTTTGTGTGAAGGCTGATCAGGTGCTTGTGCCTGCAGCAGGAGCTCAGAGAAGAGCATGTGGTCCTTATTTCCTATACCAGCAGAGTAATCCCCTTATAAACAGGCCATGAAGGTGGCCCTGGGTTCCTCTTAGTGCCTCAGGTGGGACCTGCTCATTCTTTCTTCAGGAAGGAATGCTGACTTGCTAATTAGAAACAGTCAGCTGGATCCTCTTGAGATTTTCTGTGCTGAAAAGATGCCAACTTGTATTCTTACTCTCTGGCAGAAGAGATGCTGAGCAAAAAGGTCCCTGCTTGAGAGCTGCATGCAGTGGTTAGAACTCAGGGTTTTTTGAACATGTTGAACTGGCAAAGATGAAGTGGAGTTCAGGGATGTGGTTTTCCAGCCTCTGTTGCCTGTAGTTCTGTGCTTCTAGTGCAGGCATAATGCTACAATTACAGGTTTGGCATGGGAGGCAAGGGCAATGCATACACCAGTGTCTTCCAGGGTGTTCTTTGAAGTGCTCCTGTTATTGAGGAAGTGAAAATCTGAGAAACTCAGCATTAAAATCTTACACCAACCAGCAGTGGTCTGTCTCTTTGATTCTCTGTTAAACTCTCCTGCATGCAAGAGAGGTTCTTCCTCAGCATACCTCAGGGAAGAGGGGAAGAAGAGCTGCTGTTGCTGCTCATATGATGTCTGCAACTGCTGAATTTTAGGCTTGCAAAATCAAAATACTGTCCACAACTGCTATCCTTGTTAGATTTCCAAACTTGTTTTGCAGGCAGCAGAAACTTAGTGGTACTGAGCTAATGGCTTTATCACGGAAATGACACTCCAGGCTTGCTGTGATTTTGCTGTTGTCTTGTTTCTTTGCTCTGAGTGTTTGAGACAATTAGTGTTTTTGAAGACTAGCCGTGTGCATTAGTGCCACTGCAAGATGTGAGATAGAAGCCCTTTGCTGTCTTCTGTGCTGCAAGGGTCCCTTTTCTGGCAGGCTGTGGCTCAGGCACCGTGGCTAGTTAGAGGCCAGTGGCATTCTGCTTCCTCCTCCTAAGTGATGACCTACTGCCATGGCCTCTTGTCAGGACGGTGTTCCTCTCCATGGTGTGCATGCTTGTGCACACTCTCTGTCACAATATTTACTCTCAGTCTCCCCACCCCCCTTTCCTCCCTGCAGGGTGATAAATTGGAGGTGGTGGAACAGCTAACCCATGAACAAGTGGGCTTAAATTGTGTGCTCTCATTTTTTATGAGATTCTGGACTGTACCAGCCTCTCCCACTAGCCCAACCTACTGCACCCTCCCCTTACCCCTCCATATTTTAGGGAGGGGGGTGTGGAGAATTAGAGCCAATTAGCCACGTCATTAATTCTTCAATTTGACGGCTGATATAGCAGGGCCTGAAACACGCTGCTGACCTCGTATAATGGGAACCCTGCTCCTTAACATATTGACGATGGGAGAAGTTAATTAAAATTCCACAGAGAGAAGGTGTCGGCTAACCTATAAACCTGTCGCTTCTCAGAACAAATCGCAGCCATCCTAGAAGAGAGAGAGGATCAGAGCAGGAGGGCATGTGGTGGGGGTTGGCCAGGGCAAGGGGCAGGGGAGATGAATTTTTCACTAATAGGTTTTATTACTTGCTGTCTAATGAGGGTGAGTATCAAAAAGCTAATATCTGGTGTCCAGCAAAGTCTGCTTTGGGGAGCTCTGTGGTTTCTGTTTTATTTGCAGGAGCCCATATTTCACCCATGTGCATTCCCTATGCACTTATGTCTAAAGCTTTTCCTCCCCTGCAGTGCCCATCCTTCTAGACAGAGCTTGGATACATTTGTTCCCCAGTGAGGCTGAACATGGCCTATAACCTCCACTTCCTCCAAAACATTTAACATGACCTTCTGATTCTCCCTTCTCAATTGTGCTGATGTAAACTGAGATCTCCTCCATAAGGACAGGTAGTTCTACTGGTATATAACTGCTGGAGAATCAGGCTCCAGCCACCTAAGTATTTTGGCCCACTGCTGCTAAGAAATGGCAGCTGTCTCTACTATGGACACACAGAGCTCAAAGCAGTTGTGTGCAGTGGGTTAGGAGCAAGGAAGGCTCCTCCAACTCTAGCCATTCAAAGTTGCTTTGGAGAAGCAGTAGTTTCCTGACCTGGAAGTTTGCCAGGATTTAGACTCTCTAGAGTGGTTAGGGTGGTATTCTTACTGAACTTCAGCTGTTAATGGGCTGAAACTTTTTGTCTTTTCAGTGATATCTTCCTCTGTGTGAAGCTTCTTACAGAGTATCCCATATGCTCCTGACCCACAGCTGGGTTTTCTGCTGTGCCTGCTGTAGTCCTGCACTGCTGGACTGCTACTCTAGAGGACAGTACCAGTACACTCAGGCTGAACATTAGAGACTTGTGCTCTTAGAGCACAGCTCCTCTGGTTTCAGGCATTTTCCCTTAGGTATTCTGCTTTGATTTGTCCATATTTTTCCTGTGTCACTACAGAGATCATCCTGTAGATACGTGGAGCTGGGGGAGGAGGCTTCCTTGTTCTTAGTGTAGTGGTGCTATTCTGGATGTTTCTGGGTCTGCAAACAGAATGATTCCTATAAGGGAGGTTAAGTAGGGGAAGAGGTGTTAAAAGGGTACCAAGAATATTGGATCATCTCTTCATATTGTGCAGGGGAAAACTGTGCTTAGTCCTTTACTTAAGTCTTTCAGCCATGGAAGTGTCTTGACATCCATGTGTGTTGTTGGAGCCTCATTGCTTTGGGGATCCCTAACAGTACACTGCACGGTAATGGGGATGGGAGGGCATTGTGTTCATTCTGGGTTTTCAGCAAGTCTGCAGAGTTATGCAGGTGTGCTTTGTATAGCAGGTTACACATTGCATGTCTCATAAGTGACTAGAGAAGACTCTGAGAGAGTTCTTAAAGTAGGATACTTAAAATAAGACTACCTCAGCTTCTTTCATCCACTGGTATAATTGATCTCTGAAGCTGTCCTTCTCCATGGATTGGTAAAATGCTGTACTTACTCTGCTGCATACCCTAAATTACATTTCTTAGCTGCTATTAATCCTCTTCCCCCTACGAGTTCATTTGCCTTTTGAACTCTGCATCACGCAGATGTTAAACTTTCATTTACTGGTGCTTACTGCAGTGACTTATGTGTGCTCTGGGACCAGGGCAAACCTAAGTGCAGTGGACCAATTCAAATGTGCAGGAGTTTCTGGTAGAGCAGTGGAACCTTCATGCTTTGTGGTTCCCTGAGGTGGCAGTAGCCAGGGAAGAGATGGGAGCAGTGTACAATGTAAACTGGGGGGGAAAGAAAAAAGTGCACTTCCATGTTAAGTTCATTATTAATCTTGGATCTAGATATTTTTTTTTTGTGTTGAATTTAAAAAAGTACTCAGATCTAAGCTGACTTCTCCTGCCAGGTCTGGCCACTGGCGTTTGCTATTTTGATTTTTAAATATTTATCATGAGATGCTGTACTCAAAGTGTGTCAGATTTTAAAGGAAGCAAAGAGAAGATGGAGGCACACGAATGGTTTCCAATGTGCGACTGTAGATGAGCAGCAGGATGCCAGGTTTCAGCTGTGGGTAGAGAGCTAGGAAACCCTTGGTATACTTCGGGGCAATCATAAAGTGCCCTACTGTGACAGAAACAGGCTATGTGTGTGTGTGTAAGTCCAAGAGACAGTCTCTTCTTTTCTGACTTTGTCATTAGTCTGCTGCAATAGATGACTTCTCCTTTTGGATATTGCCTTGGTGAAGTGCAGGTTAACTGGAGAGAGAAGGAAAGTTTGTACTGAAGACTAGCTGTGTGCATTGGATGCATAATTTAAAGGAAAATATGTACTTACATGAACAGCTACATTTAAAAAGCCAGGCTGGCTCTCCTGTTTATGCAGTGTGGTAGTTGAGATCCAACTCCTCTATTTGAACATGCTGATTTTAACCTAATTGCCTCTCCCATGGATTATTATATGAGGAGGTAATATCTGAGGATATCTCTGCTTCTATGGACAACCTCAGGCAAATTGTAAAACGTGCCCCAAACTCATTGGGGAAAGGAAGGAAGAGAAAGGTTACTTTACTAAATGGGCCTCTCTTCCATTGGGAGCGATCAAAATGATTAATTTTGAGGGCTTATTTTTAATAGTTATCTAGAAACTTCTTGTGAAACTGTAACAATCTGATCTTGCAGGTTGTCTTACAGCAAAACAACTCACTTGAATCAGAGTAACTTTGCAGTGGTTTTAACTGTGCAATTGAAGCCCCAATGGGTAGAAGTTAAAATGTTGGATAATGCTGCCCTGCCCTCATTTCTTACTCCGATTTCATCAGCAGGTTTCCCCTACTGCATATCAAGATGAGCTGTTGGCTGTAGTGTGCTCTGCTTTGACCTTGCTTTGTGCAGTTAACCTCTGTGAGTCTACTAGGACCTGGGAGAAGTAACTGAGTTTTGTTGGGGTTTGTGCATTGCCAGCAAAACAGCCGGCAGCAATAGCTCTGCTGTCCTTGGGGATCTTCACAGAGCCTGGCCGGTTTGAATAATTGAGAGGGGACTCTGACCTGCAGCTGTTTCTTAAGCAGGGCAGGAAGAACCTGCTCAACTGTGAGATCCCAGAGTGGACGTGCAGAGTTAGTGGTGGCATTAACTGCCATCTTTTACTGACCTCAGAGGGCGATCTGGATGTGGGTTTGTAGGTATATGCAACAGCCATAACTGACTTGGTGCTCTTTCACCCTAAAGCTGAGGAGCAGGAAATGAGTATCAGGTTCTCCCCTCTGGAGCTAAAATGACACCTGTGTCTTATCCATTTGCCCTGACTGTTCCCTTGATGTTGGGAGGAAGAAGACTTTGTTTTACCTTCTTTAACTGTGTGATAATAGCTCTATTTTGTCTT